TTTTAATCAACATCACAAAAGTTCATTTTTTTTTTTTTTTTGACAGGCAGAGTGGACAGTGAGAGAGAGAGAGAAACAGAGAGAAAGGTCTTCCTTTGCCGTTGGTTCACCCTCCAATGGCCGCCGTGGCCGGCGTACTGCGCTGATCCGAAGCCAGGAGCCAGGTGCTTCTCCTGGTCTCCCATGCGGGTGCAGGGCCCAAGTACTTGGGCCATCCTCCACTGCACTCCCGGGCCACAGCAGAGAGCTGGCCTGGAAGAGGGGCAACCGGGACAGAATCCGGCGCCCCAACGGGTACTAGAACCTGGTGTGCCGGCGCCATAAGGCGGAGGATTAGCCTATTGAGCCACGGCGCCGGCCACAAAAGTTCATTTGAAATGAAACAGTAGTTGTTTGAACACTTGGAACTGATGGGCTGTCAGCACAGTGCGTTTACACTGTCTTCCCGGTCCCTACTGTTGACTGTCGACTCTCCTTATTTGGTCACCTGCATTCTACTTCAGTCTAGTCTCTCAGTCTTGGCCAGGTGTCAACATCAGAGTTTACAAGTACAGAAGGAACAAGTTGTGCTTCATTCTATTGCTTCTCTTGGCTCATATGTTTCTGCTTCTTAAGGATTGGAACCAATAAGAAGTATCAAAGAAGGGGTACAAAATTCGTTTTCCTTCATAGTGTTAATTGCAGTGCATTTTTGACTTTTGATTTTAAGGTATGTGGTGAATAGCTACATGTGGACTTCGTCATGTGCGTGTTCTTCAGTCACAGGTTGGATTCTTGTCTGACACATCCGTATCTGCAGGCCTCTCTCATACCTCTCCCTGCAGTGTCCACCCAAAGACTCTTGCTCTTTCAGCCATTGTGCCTGGCAGGCAGCCGCCTTATGTCAAGATGGCTCAAGTTCGCCTGTCTTGACAGAGTCTGCTTGTCCCAGTGCAATGTGATATATCCTTGCTTTCCCAATGCAGGCCAAACTTGCCAGCCGACTTACTGCTGATCTCCCTCTTCAGTTTTTCTTTACTCTGCTCAGAGATGGCAGGACCGACCGTATGTTCCTGAATAGACATCCAGTAAAATAAAATGCCAGGTCTCTAAAGCCTGTCACGGACTCTGTCCTAGAAATATCATTATTTGGATGGAGAGAGGTAGACCCAGTCCATAACCTTTGTTTTTTTAAAAAAAATATTTTATTTACAGAGTTACACAGAGAGAATGAGAGGCAGAGAGAGAGAGAGAGAGAGAGAGGAGTCTTCCATCTGCTGGTTCACTCCCCAATTGGCTGCAACTGCCGGAGTGGCACCAATCCAAAGCCAGGAGCCAGGAGCTTCTCCTGGGTCCCCCACGTGGGTGCAGGGGCCCAAGGACTTGCGCCATCTTCTACTGCTTTCCCAGGTCATAGCAGAGAGCTGGATGGAAACTTGAGCAACGGGACTCAAACCCGTGCCCGTGTGGGATGCCGGCACTGCAGGCGGCGGCTTTACCCACTACACCACAGCGCTGGCCCCCAGTCCATAGCCTTCTACTCCACCATACATTACTCCCAGGACAGCCCTCAAATGCATGGTCTCCCGCTTATGCATTTGGAGGCAGGGGAGAGATTGTTCTGTCATCAACCTCTGAGCCCTCCAGGGAATTCCTACAGGGCGGGTTGAGACAGCGAGGGCACCATGGTTACCAGGAGTGATTTCCAGTTTTCTTCAACATCCTGGTACTACTGTTGTGGAAGAATGAAAGGGACTTTTAGTTATGCTCCTTTTCTCTATACCCCAACAACAAAATTATTTTTGCGCCCAAATGATCTTAATGTAAAAAGAAAAATAAGAAGCCTTTCATCTGCTGGTAAGTTAGAGTGTACTCAGTGTTTGCTCCCAGTGCATCAGTGGCGGAAGAAAACAGCCTTGAACCCAGGCTGGCCTCGGCAGCCCCGCCAGCTCAGCATCGCTAATTTCTGCCTTCCTTACACTGGGCTTTGAGAAGCAAGCACAGAATGATAATAAAATTCTACATGGAAACTCAACTCAGCAATTGGCTGGCAGTGGGGCAGTTTATTACCCTTAAATGCTTCAAATATTCTGTTTAACCAGAGCAACCTTGTCTCACTGATGTGTAAAGACTGCTGGAACAGCCGCTTCCTATGCGACGTCAGGACGTATCAGAAACATTCGTCTTTGCGGTCTACCTGGGGATTCTGAGAGATGGAGTGTGGCTCAAATTCCCTGTATTTTACTAAGCAGTCATTAAATACCAACCAGGCGCTGCATTAAACCTTTTCTGTGGGTACATTGCTATTTCCATCATATGGAGGAAGCAACTAAAGCACACCTTCCTAAAATCACACAGCTAGGAAGTGACAGTGGTGGGAATTGATTGGCCTAACAGCCAGATTGCCTGACCACTTAACCAGGGTTATATTGCCATGGGAATTTGTGTGTAGTAATCTCATGAATAGGTGCTCATCATAATCTCTTTACGAAGACGTATTCTCTTAGTGTCTCCAGTTACTATAAAACACATTTGAAAAATCTTAGCTTTGGGGCTGGTGCTGTGGCACAGCGAGTAAAGCTGCTACCCGTAGTGCCGGCATCCCATGTGGGCACTGGTTCAAGTCCTGGCAGCTCTACTTCTGATCCAGTTCTCTTCTATGGCCAGGAAAAGCAGTAGAAGATGGCCGAGTCTTTGTGCCCTTACACCCATGTGGGAGACCCAGAAGAAGCTCCAGGCTCCTGACTGGATGGGCACAGCTCCGGCCGTGGCTGCCAACTGGGGAGTGAACCAGTGGATGGAATACCTCCCCACCACTCTCTCTTTTCTCTGTGTAACTCTTTCAAATAAATTAAAAAAATCTTTAAAAAAAATCTTAGCTTTTACTTGGTAAATCTGTTTTTCTTGTAGTTTAGTATTTCTGCTCTTGATCCAATGAATGAAACCTAAGGTAACTACTGACCACATTAGCAAATAGATTTATATTATTTTTATTCCAAGAGTGCAAAAAGGAAGAGCAAAGCAAAGCAATGTCTTTCCACATAGGTCTCAAGGGGCAAAGTTTGGACTAGAACTCAGGACTGTTGCCACTGCTGGCTACTGAGAATGGTTTTTTATTTGAAATATTTTGTATGCCAAATGCTGGGGTCTACATTAGGAGTTTCTGTCACAGTCATCAATTAGACATGGTTCCTCTACTAAGTTCAGCTGTGACACAAAAAAGCTGGCACATTTAACTTGTAGGATAAGACAGAAGATGCTTCACAGATGCATCACTTGATCTGCATTTTCAGTAAGTAAGAGTTGGCCACGGGAAAAGGGGAAGGAAGACTATGCAGACGCGGGACCTGTTCAGCAACGGCAAGCTCAGCAGAAGTGAACAGGGGCTGGGGTGGGGAAGAAGTATGAAGAGCGAGTGAGGAGTGAGTGTTGCGGGGTGCGGCTGGTTAAGCCAACACTTAGAACACTGACAACATCCTATGCTGGAGTGCCTGAGATCAAGGCCCGCCTCCACTCCTGACCCGGCTTCCTACTAACGTGCATCCTGGGAGGCAGAAATGATGTCGCACATACTCCCTACAACCCACACGCGAGCCTGAGGTGGAGCTTCTGGCTCCTGCCTGGCCCAGCCTTGGCTGTGCTAGGTGTTTGTGCAGTGAACCAGTGGATGCAAGTTCAGTTTCTGTCTCTGGAACTGTGCTTTTCAAATAAAGAAAAAAGTAACATTTTAATAAGGACAAAATAAAAATAATTTTCCTAGTTGCTCTTGAAAACCCAGATCAAACATGAAGAATGATGAAAATTAAATTTCTTTTCAGCCTGTTGTCTGGTTGTCATTTGATGTGGCAATTTCTGTTAGCACAACCTAATTCTGGGTTCACAGGTCACTGTTCACGTTGATGGCCTCTGTCTCCTCTGACCTTTAGTAAGTGATCTATAATCTTATGATTTCCATACCTAGGGAGGCATGCACGGTCTCTCACTTTCAGGCACCAGCATACTCTTTGTTTCTCAGGCCCCACTACTACTTGCCTTTGCCTAAATGTCAGTGTTTTAGTAGAAAGGCTTCTCCTCTGGATTTCCTTCCTAACTCCAGAAACCATGCATCTATGTTGGGTTGACAAAATGCTGTTGTTTCAGCCTTATGAATTTTCAAATTTCATAAAGAAACTGTTACTCTCAACTTTCCTTCCAAAGTCCTAGGGTTGTAGAAAAGATTAAATGCTTCAATATTAAGTTCCTTGCAGATAGTAAGGGCCTAATAATTAGTTCTTAAGCACTTACCATACACATAATTCCAGTACAATGTGGCCACTTACACACAGTATCTATTATATTGGAATTAATTCCTGTATGCACCTCCAACTTCATTTTATGTGCTTTCCAGAAGTAATTACCATGTATGTACATAGAAATTTGCATGTACTAATTACTTTCACAACATTCTGTTTGTTTTAATGCAAAACTAATTTTTAAGAAAAATATCATTTGCTTTCTATAGACACTGGCCAGTAAGAAAGGGTTAGAAAAATCAAGAATTTTCTCCTCATGTAGGATCTTTGCCTTAGTGTGCTGTACATTGAGATTTAATGCTATAACTAGTACTCAAACAGTATTTTTCACTTTATGTTTCTTTGTGGGAGCAAACTGTTGAAATCTTTACTTAATGTATGCTAAACTGATCTTCTGTATATAAAGAGAATCGAAAATGAAAAAGAAAAATCAAGAATTTAAAGAACAGATGTTACTGTTGATCTAAAGTAACAACATGTTGAAGTACAACATCCTTAAGGCCTTCATATTTTCCCAGTTACAGCTTTTCTTATGTGTCACCATAATGTAACTGACTTTCAGGTTTATGACATGGTTGAGAAGTTTATCTATTACATCATCTTAAAAATTATAGTTTTGGTATCTGTCAACTAAATCATGTAGGATGGGTGCCTTGTACTTACTATGGTGTCCAATTAGCTCATACAACTTTTTTCTCAACATGAAGAAGAAAAACTACAACACAGAAATGTTCTGAAGTGGTTGTGTTCATTGGAAAAAATAAAGTACCAACTCCACATTTTGTTAACATTCATTTTATAAAATACCTCAAAAGAACAGATAAAGTACTTGAGGTTACATAATAACCAGAACTGAAAAAAGAATGAATAAAATATAAATTAATGGAATACATAATTATTTTGCCACATTAAACAAGTTTTAAAAAGGCATTTAAAAAATCCAATAAAACAGTAATTGGGAAGAAAACCCTTCACTCTGTTGCTGTCTTTTCTGGACACTTTTTCTAGAAGCACTAAATTCCAGGTCAACAGGCATTTGTAACCATTTAAGTCGGGCTGTAATTTGCTTCCATATCTGTCAGCTAAGAAAGAAATTAAAATTTTAATCAGGTTACATAAATGAGTGCAAAATAAAGCTTCAAGTTGAAAAAACTAAGAGGAAGAATAATACCCAAACTGTAGGAAACGCTTCTGGAACTGGAAATTTAAAACTTCACATTATGAAGAAATTTTGCAAGTATTCTTGGTGTGTGAAATACTGAGTTAACAAATGGGCCCTCTGAAGTTGTAATTAGGGCTGATTAAAACTGTTTGCATGTAGACAAGGATAATGGGTAAGAAGAGCTGGAGATTTTATTGTGGAGAGAAGTTCAAGTTAACTATCAACTGCTTTGATTCAATTCTAGAAAATTAGGCCAGGCTGTATCAGCTATCAGGAGACAAAAGCAGATTATGGAGGTACTATCACACCACTGACATCACTGAGCATAGGTCCTTCTAGCCTTAGGACATGTTTGGTAGGGAGAGGGATAATCTTAGCTACGATTTGCTTGCTCTTTTAGACTACATGAAACACTGGCTTAACTAACAATATTTCCTAATCTTCAGAAAAGAGATGCATGTTTAACTTTTTCAATCATAGAGAAATAAAGTCTGAACCAAAAATATTTTGGTTTATTTCCTCAAAACATCTTTTTGAGTGTGATGTCACAGGCAATCGGTAGCAAAGGGCTTTTCATGGCAGTGTTTGACAGAAGTTTCCCTTTTTCCATATGAGTTGTTAATTCTTTTTAATAACAAAACCAATGGTTGCTATTGACTAAAAGATACAGAGAGGGTTTGGTGGAGACATGTAAAAGTTCTTAAAAAAATTTCAGGTCCAAATTTACTATATCATCCCCCAGCTTTTAAAATTCTCATGGGACATCCTCACATATTATGAAAACTTAATGAGAACATACTATGTTTTCTGACATTCCTATTTTACATCATTCCCCAATCTATTAAGAAAGCTATAACAATGTTATCAGAACGAAGTGGAATCATTTGGCTTGTCAACTGTACCCCTGATCAGAAAGACACAAAAAGGCCAAAATATACAGTGTTATTCCAATATCCCATCAGAAACTCATAAAATATATGAAAACCATGATGACATAACATTGAGCTCATAAACAGAAGCAGCCAACCAATTTTAATAAGTATAAAAAATGCATTCATATACCTACTCACAGAAAGAACATCCAAGGCAAATTATGAATTCCTCTTAAGGGAAATAGCCAGCTCAGAATCACTGAAGAAATTCATACACAAGAGCACAAACGTCCAAGGCCCAGAATTTCTCAGATATCTCATACCATGAAAGCCAGACTTTCAAGAACCGGCACCATCACTTTGCAAAGGAATGTGTTAGTTTCTCTTTCCAGGCAACCTGGCCATCTTTCAAGTTTTGGAGATTAACTTCTAACAGATTTATCAGATGTATGGTTGTGCTTTTTCAAGCAGAGAAGGGGGACTCAGAACCTGGAACATCCTTTCTGTGACACTGGGTATGAAGTTTGGAAAGGTGTGTTTGGGGAAGGTCTTGTGTTGGAGTGAGTTAAGCAGCCAGAGCTTGGGCTCTCCCCAGCCCATACTGGAGTGCCTGGGATCGGGTCCTGCCTCTTTCGGATCCAACTTCCCACTCATCAGCATTGTGGGAGGCAGTGGATGAAGGCCAGGTACTCGGGTCTTTGCCACTGCTGTGAGAGACCTAGACGGAGTTCCTGACTCCTGGCTTCCACCTGGCTCAGTCCCAGCTATTAGGGATTTTAGGAGATGAACCACCAAATGCAGGATCTCACCCTTTCTCTCTCTGCCTCACTCTGCCTTTCAAATAAATGAGTAAATAAACCTTAAAAAAAAAAAAAAAAAGGTGTGGAACATACCCACAGTTAGTCCAGATGAGAAAAACTGGGTTCTCACCTTTGACTCAAAGATGTTCTGTCTTAATGTTACAACTAACTTGTGTTTAGGAACCAAAGAAGCAAACTGCTGGGAAATTCTGCAGCTTGTGTATCAGCCTGGCAGGTTTCACGCAGCAGAGATTTTGTCATCGAAGACACGGATAAAGAACAAAGCACCATGCTGGAGTCAGGTTAGAACTAGTGCCCAACGGTGCCAGACACGCAACTGATACTCAAAACATATTTATAGATTCATTGAAAATAGTTAACCTGGATTCTGAGGAACCACCATTTTCCAAAAAAGAACACAACCTTATTACATTTCTTTGACCTGATTGGATGGAGCAATGTGAAACAATGGGTGACTCTACAAATTAAATATGAAGTCTAATTTGATTGCAGAGAGAAAATTACTAGGAACTTAGCAAAAAACACTGCCACAGTAGTTTTGGCACTGAGTGCATAAAGGATTTAATGTTTCTACTGCAGTATGAACACCACCAGTTAGGAATCAGAGTGTAATTGTTCAAACAGGAAATTAACTCTATTACATGTTGGGAAAGGTATGTTCATAATTTTATCTGGAAGTTATTATTAATATGTGTTGGGGAATGGCCCTCATTTTCTGAGTGCCTCAAAGTAACCCAGGCACAAATATCAGGAGACCTCATTATGTAGCATATGACAGCATTGTCCTGTGTGAGCGAGTGTATTTCCCCCCATCTGCAGTAGTTGCTTTCTAATATCTTAGATTTTTATGCCCCTAGGATGACAGAGATGAGAACAGGGCAGATTCAAGGTCATGAAACTTGAACACTAAAAAGGGAAGCTCCTCTACATTATGTAAAATCCCCTTATAAAAGGCAGTTTATTGACAAATAAATGCTTTATACATTCAGGTTTTTCTCATCTCTCAACAGTGACGGTTTCTGAAGAACAGACTCAGTAGTGAAGAACACACACTTTTCTTTTTTGCATTGGTTTGATATGTTGACAATCAGAACCTTTAAAGCATCGTGTAAATGAGAGAAATGGAACTGGACCCGGGTTGGGGGACATGAAGGCGGAGAACCAACAGGAGATTCAGTTGCTGACATGGACAGCAAGGGGTTAGGTAGGAGATGTTACAGCAGACCTGACTATTCTACAAAGGTTTTGTCCAGGACACAGTACAGAAAACAAAACCCAAAACGAACTGCAACTTCGCTAACTTGTAAACAAGGAAAAGCATTTCACAGATTCAAAGTTCAAGGGAAGTAAACGTCTTTAAATTATGTTTGTCAGTTCAACCCTGATTTCGAAGTATGGCTAGCAAAAACAAGGAAGCCGCGGCGGCCGTGGACATCCTGAGCAAGCAGCTGTGCTCCGAGAAGCTGCACACCCAGTGGGAGCTCCCCCAGGCGCTGCCTGAGCGCGACACCGTCTCTCCTCGCTCCACCTCGCTCCTCTCCCTTCCACACTGCAGGATTATCTCTCAACTGCTTTTCATGTTGGCGACTCCAGCCCTGGCTGCTATAGATTTAGACGTGGGGAGACTGGAGGAGGGAAGGCGAATTCTCGGAGGATGCTGCGGGCTACTTCCACGTTATTCTGGGCGATCTCCAAGGCTCTCTTCACTTCTTCAAAGGCATAGCCTTCGCCCATGAGTTTTGCAATTTTTGCATCGACGTTTTCTAATGCTGCCTCAGGCCCATGGGGCTTTCTGTGGTGAATTTCTGGTGCAGTCCTGCGGGGCCGTGGCTTGGGGGGTCTGGCTGGTGCTTGTGAACCATCTGTGTAGGTTTGTAAAGAGAGATATTGAAACACTGAGATGAAAATGCAGACACCATAACACACTAGTATTAGCTGATCATTTTCTGTTACAATATTATTTTTGTTATTTTTACAAACCTACCCCTCCCCCCTTGTACTATTTTGGGATACATAATAGCACCTCCATTTCAAACATTAGAAAATGTAAGTGAAATGTCATTGCTAGTACAACTGAGCAATTAGCAAATTATTACCAATTGTACAGGTTACTCTTGATGACACATGGAAAAAAAGATCAAAACTGGGTAAAAAATTAAGACTTTCACTTTGTTAGGTAATACAGTCCACCCTTCTTCTGGGAGCACAGTGGTGGCTGCTTGTCCCTGAAGGGACAATCTGCAGAGCTTCCCACTACAGGCAGCTCGTTCTTTGCTAGCCTACCGACATTCACGGCAGAGCCTTCTCTAACAGGGCCTCCTTCCCAACCCTGTCACAGAAAAACTGCTACGAAAATGTGCTTTGTAGGGTCTCTTCCTATGTGATTGTACAACTTAACGCTAAGCCTTACTGACGCTAAGGGGAAAAAATGGAAAAGAAACTTGCAGTTACTGTGACTTTACTGTTAAATTAATAGGCTGAACAGAAGTAAACTCAGGGGGCCAGCGCTGTGGCATAGCGGGTAAGGCTGCCACCTGCAGTGCCAGTATCCCATATGGGTGCCGGTTCAAGTCCCAGCAGCTCCATTTCCAATCCAGCTCTCTGCTATGGCCTGGGAAAGCAGTAGAAGATGGCCCAAGTCCTTGGGCCCCTGCACCCATGTGGGAGACCCAGAGGAAGCTCCTCGCTCCTGGCTTCAGATCAGTGCAGCCAACTGGAGAGTGAACCAGCAGATGGAAGACCCCTCTCTCTCTCTGGTCTCCTTCTCTCTCTGTGTAACTCTGACTTTCAAACATATCAAATAAATCTTTAAAAAAAGAAGTAAACTCAGTGCTCTGCATTAGAGAAAGATTTGCTTGAGAAAAAAGGAAATGGATGAAACAGAGTGCAGAATTGGGTTCTAGATTAGCCCTCTAATGAGTTTCTCAGAGTTAACTGAATGCCATTATGCCCACGAATACATGGTAGTCTTGAGAAAAATGAAAAGTAATTACAGTCCATGTGTTATACAGATCCTCAGGGCATGGGTGAGCTAAACTGACAGGCACTTTCATTATGGATTTCCACTTATCTATATACTGTGGTACACACACACACACACACACACGGCATTGTAGATGTCATGGCAAGAAACTGAATCTATCCTTGGCGGGTGGGAAGGCAAGAAACAAGAGCCTATCAACTTTGCAAGACTGTTATAATTCATGCAGTAGAATTTGTAGCTTGCTAATTTTATTTGAGGGAAAGCAATTCTTTGCTTGGAAAAAAACAAGTAAACATAATTCAGGAAACCGATGTAAGCAAGGAAGAATACACACGTGTACACATGCCATACACACACAGATTAAATCAAAAAACTATGTAGGCAGTAAAAATCTGGATTATCTCCAACCCTGGAATAGACATATTTCTGAACAGATTGGAACTCTGCCAAATTCTATTTATGAGAGCAGCATCACTCTGATACCAAAACCAAGCAAAAAGATACTACATGAAAAGTAAACCACAGACCTATGTTCTTGACGAACATAGATGCAAAAAGTCTCAATAAAATACTAGCAAACTGAATCCAATACCATACAAAAATGATTACACATCACGATCACATAGGCTTTTTCCCAGAGATGTAAGGGTGGTTCAATATTCACAAATCAATACATGTCATAAGTCACATCAACAGAATGAAAAACAAAAGCTATCTGGTCACTTCAATACATGCAGAGGAAGTACTTGGCAATATTCACATCCCTTTATGATAAAAGCCCTCCACAAATTAGGTACAGAATGATGGTACCTTGAAGTTACAAAGGCTATACATTACAAACCAACAGCCAACATCAAACTGAAGGGGAAAAGCTGAAAGCACTTCCCCCACAGATCTGGAGCCAGACAACAATGTCGATTTTCATGTGTCTTATTCTTTACAGTACTGGAAGTCTTAGCAAGAGCAATTAGGGAGGAGAAAGAAATAAAGGCCATCAAAATTGGAAAAGAGGAAGTGAAAATATCCATGTTACCTGAGTACACGATGTCGTATATGGAAAAATCTCGAAACCACCAAAAAGCTGTTAGAACTGATAAACCAATTCAGTAATGTTGCAGGTCACGAAATAAATATACAAAAAAGTAGCCTTTTTATATCCTAATGATAAACTCACTGAAAGAGAAATCCAGAAAGAAATCCCATTCAAAATAGCCGCATATATAAAAAATTAAATATTTAGGAAAAAATTTAACCAAAGGTGTCAAAAATCTCTACAATGAGAGTATTTCAGGCATGGAAAGCCAAGACACTCTGGAAAAAAAAAAAAAAAAACTAAATGAAAGATGTCCGTGAGTGAGATCCCAGAGATCCCAGTGGAAAGAACAGGCCATCAAAGAAGGAGGTACCTTTCTCTGAAGGGAGGAGAGAACTTCCACTTTGACTACGACCTTGTCTAAATATGATCAGAGTCGGTGAACTCAAAAGCCTTCCATAGCCTTGGCAACTCATGACAAGAGCCTAGGGTGATTACTGATGCCATAAACAAGAGTGTCAAATTGTTAAGTCAACAACAGGAGTCACTGTGCACTTACTCCTCATGTAGGATCTTTGTCTTTAGTGTGCTGTACATTGTGATTTAATGCTATAACTAGTACTCAAACAGTATTTTTCACTTTGTGTTTCCATGTGGGTGCAAACTGTTGAAATCTTTACTTAATATATGCTAAACTGATCTTCTGTATATAAAGAGAATTGAAAATGAATCTTGATGTGAATGGAAGGGGAGAGGAAGCGGGAAAGGGGAGGGTTGCGGGTGGGAGGGATGTTATTGGGGGGGAAGCCACTTAATCCATAAGCTGTACTTTGGAAATTTATATTCATTAAATAAAAGTTAAAAAAAATCTCTACAATGAGAATTATCAAACATTGACGAAAGAAATCATCAGGACACAAAAAATGGAAAGATATTCCTTGCTCATGGATTAGAAAAATCAGTATCATTAAAATGTCTATACTACCTAAAGCCATCTACAGATTCAATGCTATCGCCATCAAAATACCGATGACATTTTTTACAGGTTTAGAAAAAACAATCTTAAACTTCATATGGAATCATAAGAGACCCAGAATAGCCAAAGCAATGCTGAGGGGTGGGGGACAGAAACCAAGTTTGAGACATCGCATTACCTGACTTCCAAGCACATTACAAAGCTATAGCAATTAAAACACCTGGTACTGGCATAAAAGGAGACAAATAGAACAATTAATCCACGTATATACAGCCAACTGATTTTGATAAAAGTACCAAGACATACAAAAAAATTTCAAATATCAATTGAAGGAAATGATGTTAAAGAATTCCAAGGAGAAGTCATGACAGATGTTGAAGACAATGTCATTAAAAAAAAAAAAAAAAAGAAAGAAAAAACCCTGCAAGACATCGGCATGGGCAAAGCTTCTTGGAAAAGACCCCAAAAACATAGACAAAGCCAAAATTGACAAATGGGATTACATCAAATTGAGAAGCTTCTGTACTGCAAAAGAAACACTCAGCAAAGTGAAGAGGCAACCGACAGAAAAGGAGAAATTATTTGCAAACTATGAAACTGATAAAGGATTAATGTCTAGAATCTATAAAGAGCTCAACAAACTAAACCAAACAAACTAGTTAGGAAATGGGCATTTTTCAAAAAAGGAAGATTCAAATGACTTACAGACAAATGAAAAAATGTTCAGGATCACTGGCCATCAGGGAAATGTAAATCAAAACCACCCCAAAAAATTAGAATGCTTTCATATAGAAATCAACAATCAAATGCTGGTGAGGATATGGGGGAAAAGATATTCTATCCCACTGATGGGTGGGAATGTAAACTAATGCAGCCATTGTGGAAGACGGTATAGAGATACCTCAGAAATCTGAATATAGATCTACCATATGACCCAGTCATCCAACTACAGAAAATTTACCCAAAGGAAATGAAATCAGCATATGAAAGAGTTATCTGTACCCCCATGTTTACTGCAGCTCAATTCACATTAGTGAAGATATGAAACCAACTCAGATGTCCATCACCTGTAGAATGGATAAAAGAAATCATGGTATATGCATACCATGAAATACTACACAGCAATAAGAAAAAAATGAAATCCTGTCATTCAACAAAATGGATACAACTGAAAACCATCATACTTAGTGAAATAAGCCAGTGCCCCAAGACAAACACCATATGTTCTCCCTGTGGTAACTTATAGAGTACCTAAAAGGTAATCTATAGAAGTGTAACTGACAGTTTGAGAAACGATGATTTTGAACAGTTCTCGTCTTGACTGTTGAGGAACACTTTTTTTTCTTACTAGTTGTTGAACTCTTCACTTAGTATAGGTTTAATTTTATGAGTATGAAGTTAATTGAAAATAGATCTTTGTAAAAAAATAAGAATGGGAATAGGAAAGGTTGGAGAAGAAGACTGGGAATGTGTGTGAGAGGGAGGGTAGAGTGGGAAGAATCATTATGTTCCTAAATTTGTATATATGAAATGCGTGAAGTTTATATACCTTAAATAAAATGTTTCTAGATAAAAAAACAAATAAATAAAATCTTAAAAATAAAAGAAAAACTCTCTCAAAGTAAATATCAATTTTCTCAATTGACATAACTTACCATTTAAATCTTAATCTCACATATCACAATTCATTTAATCCTAGTCCTCATTGTCCTGAATCAAAATTGATTTCCACCAAATAGTGCTAGCATCTCTTTAGAATTGGACAAATGCTCAGAGGTTAAATTCTATTAATCTAACTGGAAATAAGATAGAAACTTGGAACTTCTTATCATCTGTTGCAAACTTCTATGTTTTCCTCAATATTTAATTA